CTCGCATTAGAAAGTACTCCATTTTCCTGAAGAAGGTGTTAAAGGAAGGGAAGGAAGGCTTGCGCGGAAAATTCTTGCACTCTTTCCTAACATGAATATGTCAGTTGTGATCACTGGAAATAGCACACAAAGTTTCACGCATGAAGATTCGGTTTCTGAAGAGAAACAAACGTACAAAAACTACACGTTATGGACCATCGAAGGACCAGGAGGCAGAGCCAGGCGAGGCATGGAAAGAAGACGGCGTTTGGCCGGCTACGTACCAGGCGACGCAATGAGAGAATCGGGTTAAAGCGCGCGATTTCGGAGAGTGGAGACAAATCGATCGATGGAATAGGATGGAGTAGAAGTGTAAGATGTGAATGCAACGAAGCAGAAGGCCAGAAAGAGCTTCTAGTGAAGGCACTCCAAGAACCAAGTTTGAGCATCCCCGTCGCCAGCATTTGTGAAAGACGAAAGCAATACTTCAGTTCTTTTCACTATTATCGTGGATAATGAGTCTCAAGCCAGTGATTTATGGCTGAAATAGAATCATGATTTTTCCGCGCAAGATTCCTTTAAGTAGCTGGCGCCTCCGACAGCACTCAAGATTACAACTTTTGTGGGCAAGAAGATTCTGATGCTAAAACTCCATGAATAGAGAAAGTAGAAGGCCCTCACATGAAAATAAATTTCATTCTTAGCATCGCTTGCCGAGACCTCTTCCTGAAATTGGCCACTACTCAAGGCTACCGCGTTACAGCACTCTTTCGAAGTGTGGGTGAAAATCTCAATTTCGCTAGCAGTGTATTCCCATATGTATTTAGACCTCCCAAATAGGTACAGTAGCGCTCGAAAGTCTTTGGCCAAATGCATTTTCAGCCGTAACTTTTTCCTGTCGAATCGAATCAGTTCGAATTTTGAAATTCTTGAGTCTGACCGTATTCCAAGTAAAAAGGATAAAGGATAAAGCATTTGCCGTTGATCAATCCCTTTTTGGGATGCGGCACGCATTCTACTTCCATTTGTACATGCGATGTGGCCTATACAATGACTTGCGGGGGCCAGCCGATGTACAAGTCAGTGTTTTTATCCTCCCAGACAAGTCTGGTACCAATTAACCGACCCCGGAGGGATGGAAGGCTTGGTTGGCCCGGGCGACTCACGACCCAGGATTTGATCCCCGGACCGCTCGCGTGGTAAGCGTGCCACTTGCCACTACACCACTTCCGCCCATGCCCAAATTCCATGTTGTTTCGAATTATTGTAGAAAGCTTATTACTAAAAAAGTAATCTATTGGTTGATAAAAACGCCAAGCATATTTAGTAATTTGATAGCCTTTTGCAGTCGCTGTATCCTCAACAGAGCCTAAGTCTGGCGTCTGTAGTGGACGATGTCCCCTGTGTTCTCCGGCTGACTGGAAGCGAATGGTACGGTTTATTAGGGGTGACGCCACAGGCAACGGACGAATACAGCACTCCGAATAAAAAAAAGGCGAGAAAGAACTAACTCCGACCATCATGTGGTGGCTTTATATTAGCGGTTTTCCCGCCAAACAGATCAAAACTTGCTAAAGCATGGTGAGACAGGTGCGGGGCTCAGGGCACGAAGAGACCACAGACCACAAAAGAAATGTAGTGATCAATAGAGACAAATACCTCAACATGCCTCCCCCTAGGGGAAGTGGCGTCCCTGCCACTTCGGAGGTACACAAATTACAGTGACAATGAATTCAAGAAACAATTCATATCTCATATTGCAAAACAACAACCGGTATCAAAAAATATGAATACGTGACATTTGACATCAACAGGATGATGACATCGACGACGAGAAAAAAAACTGCAAGATTCATAGAGAATCCAAACCATTGAGAGATTTCCAGCAACATACATCATGAAGAAAACTTTCAAAATGCTACGAGACTTGTACAATGGGCGAAAAAGAGAACTTCGATGGATTTAGAGATTCTGAGAGGGGGGAATGGGTGGGTGGGGGGTAATAACTAGCCGTTGCGAGGGTGTCCTCGGTGTGCGCCACGTCCTCGACTGGGTGGCCTGTCGCCACGATACGATGATGATGAAGCGGCCATCCATGGATACTGGAGTACTGGAATCGCATTCGGTAGCATCTGAGTGGGAAACATCTGCTGCGTTGTCCTGAATGATGAGAATTTTGGGTATCGCTTTGGAGGTCGTGCCAGTTTCATTTTTTCCTTTCTTTGCTTAAAATACTCGCGTAC